TCCCTCCCTCCAAATAAAACTACGTGGAGGTAGAAGAACGAGTTGTGCTTGTTAACTTTTTGAAAGTGTCCCAGCGCTATAAAAAAAATACTTGCGATTTTACCTACCCTGGGCTTGGGCAACCCCACTCTACAAGCCCTGGGTGGTCAAAATTCCCTGCACAGTGGGAGTGTGGATTGACAAGCCCACGGGGATATGAAAGTTACCAGCCCAATATGGGCGCGCTGGGCGACTCCGCATGCCCAACTTGCTAATTTACCACCGTGGGCAAGCAAAGGCTCTCTGCCTGCCCAGGGCTTGTAGAGTGGGGTTGCCAAGCCAAGCCCATGGGCGGGGAAAAATGCAAACCCTGGGCAAAGTAAATTACCCGAGGCGGATTTTCCCGTTCCGGACTTCTCCCCCTTCCAAGCGAACCTTCATTTTTAACAGATATTATTAACACACATTAAATATTTTTTTTTTACCTTTGCTGTTACCTGGACTCCGACCTCGGACATCTGGGTTGCTGCGCCGCATCCTTGACCACAAGGCTACGGTGAACTCACGGGTAGAGGAGCGTCAGCAACCCATGTTGTTCCTCATCTCGAGCAGCGGAGCGGACCTCTTCGCTTTGAAGTAACAAGTCCTGACTAATATCTATTATTGTCTAGTAAATGCCCCGTTTCTTATTGAATGTACCCAGCCACATATCTTTTCAATACTAGAATCAAGAAAATTTAAGTTTTTCTCCCTTCGTGGGCATGCAATGGCCTTCTACTTACCCATGGGTGGTAATTTACCAAGTTGTCGGTGGAAATTTCGATGTGTGGGTGCGTCAATTTACAACTCGTGGGCAGGTAGAGGAGAATCACATGCCCACTGTGCGAATTTCGAGTGTGGGTCGGTAAATTCGCAAGTTTGGGTACGGAAATAAACCCACCCGCTTGGCGTGCATATAGACATTGCATGCCCACTGGGTCATCAAATCAAATTTACAAGACGGGTAGGCAAAGTTGCAAGTCCACTGGGTGGGTAAAATCCCACTATTTTTTTATAGTGGGCTGTGTGTGTGCAAGTCGTTCCAATAAATAAAGCTAAATCCTTAAGTCGAGTTTCAACCATATATTTGGACCCCACACAGAGGCTGCGAGATATTCTGTAAATATGTACAGCACTTAAGTAGCCATGAACGTTATAGTTCTACTCGGATTTCGGAATAATGTCACATTCTACCACTTCGCATACGTATAAGTCTTTAGCTTTGCCAATCGAGAGTCTGAACCTAAAGTGTCCATAAGGCAGGATTGGAACGTTTGGAAAAGTCCAGTTTATAGGAGCGTTTGTAACCTCGTAAACTCCCTGTAGAGAAAAGAAATGAATCCATACATTTATAATTCCTTTGTGTTTGAAGCCGCAACAATTAATTACCAGAAAAATGAACACGACAGTATGGCAAGAGGAAACTTACAGGGTTTATTTTGCACGCCCCTTTAGTTTCTCTCTTCTTAAAAAACAGGTCGTAGATTCCAGGGATGTTTTCTTTAAAAGATTTACATCCATTGGTTTTAAAGTAAAAGATAAAGGCGTTTTCCTTCCATTGGTTGCTTGACCAAACATCCATAATTCCTCTTAACTGTTACAGGGCGAAACAGGGTAATCGCTTTAGCCTCCGTACTGTAGGCGTACTGTATTGCGTCTGTACAGCGTCTTGCGAACGAATTTCTTTCACTGATAAACCACGTGTTCAACTGCAAGTTGCATGTATACTTACAACTATTCGATTCCGTAATTGTGAACTTGCAAGTATGTTCAACTCGGTAGCAGTGCATTTGTAAGTGTGCATATCTTCTGTTGAATACTTCCCTATACACTGGAAATTTAAGTGTACAAATGTCGCACACCTGCAAGCGAGTGGAAAGGATCACGCAACTGCTGGTGTGCGACAGAATTTTCATAAACCTGCAGATCTGACCATTCACACGCTTAGGGTGAGTAGGGAACTACCTTTCCAAGTGTACGAATCTCGTTCCTCCCACCTACAGATGTGTGAATATTTTGTCGCTCACCTACAAGTATGTGAACTTTTTCACTCACCTGCAGGTGTGCGACATTTGTACACTTAGATTTCCAGAGTAGATTAGACGCTTATTGTCTGGAAAGTGTTAAAAAGAGGAGTTGCACACTCACAATTGCACAGAGAACCATTTAGTTGATACAACTAAATCAAGGTCGTAAGAAAGAAAATTAAGTCCCTAATTCCGACTAAAATTTCCCTATTTGGATCAAAACAGGCTGCTTTGATTCAAAAACATTTCTTTGAGTCTATATTTAGTAAAGAATTTCTTTGTTTTAAAGCAGCATTCGTTGATACAGAGAAACGATTTTCTGGGTGTGGTGTTATTATATATGATCATATAAAATCACATATATGGGCGCCCATACATGCTCATATATGCTCATATATAGAGGTCCATATGTAAACTATTTCATCCGGGTAGGCAGCCCGCTCGCACTCTTGCGTGCGGTAGGATGACTACAAAAGTGAGCGGGGTTAATCAGCCTCCTGGTATGGCTGGCATTACACAATTTGGTGAGAGAACCTTGACAAGTACTTATAAGTGTTTGGATGCTACCGAGGGGGCCTCAACCCCCGGCAATCTGGTGTACACCCACCCCGGCAATCTGCGATCTTCGGCAATCTCTAGGTAATCGGCTGCGAAAGCCATGCTTTTTGCCTACATTCAGGGTGACATTAGTGCGTTTTGCATAGTTACAGGCGATTTATGCCCTTAAAGCTAAATATTATTCAAGCAATCCGGCAATCTTGGCAATCTGGCGTACATCCTACAACAGAGTTGAGGCCCCCTCGGATGCCACCGGATGTCACAAGTCACACTTGTAATTGAAATATCTTACCCAGCAGCTGTCGTCAAAAGTTGCATTAGCAGTCATCTTTCCTGTCATGAGTTGCAACTCTTTTGGTTTATATGGGTTGAAGTGAGTAGTACGCACTTGAATTTTCCAGGGAAGCGGGTGGTTCTTTGGTTCGCACGAGTAATAGTGTTCGGCGTAAACAATGAAAGGACCCTATTCGAAAAAGGGATAAGAAAACGCCGTTCCGAAGATCATCCGAAACCCAAAGAACATGGGTTTGTCAAAAGAACACTAAATGAGGCCTCTCTGCCATTTCAAGGAAGCCCTGTTCTTTAGGGTGTACTATTAAGACACATATTATCTTGACAAAATAATCAGAGTATTAAATGAGAATTGAATACAGGTATTATTTACTCTGGAAACCCAAGTGTATGCATGTTCATGTCACCCCCCAAGGAGGAATTTGAGCCCTGACTGTCAGCATGACGTCAAAATGGTCCCTCATTTTGACGACCTTCTGCACTCATTCTGACGTCATTGTGACTCATTATGACGTCTATAA